CGGGGCGAGGCCGGCGGGGGCGGGCGCTGCCGGGGCGGGCTCCATCCCTCCGGAAGTCTCTCCCGCTCCCTCCTTTCTCCTCCTTTCCCCCGACAACATGGCCGCGAAGTCGGACGGCGGCGGCGGCGGCGGCCCGGCCGTGCTGCTGGAGAGCCCCGAGGACGGCGGCGAGCGGCGGGCGGCGGGCGCGGCGCCCCCGGCGCGGCGGTACCGGCTGCGGGACGGGTGCTGGGTGTTCTGCGCGCTGCTCGTCTGCTTCGCGGACGGCGCCTCGGACCTGTGGCTGGCGGCCCATTACTACGTGCGGGGGCAGCGGTGGTGGTTCGGGCTGACGCTGCTGTTCGTGCTGCTGCCCTCGCTCGTGGTGCAGATGCTCAGCCTCAGGTGGTTCGTCTACGACTTCGCCGCCAGCACCAAGGACAGCGGCGCCGGCACCAAGGACAGCGGCCCCCGCGGCTGCTGCCGCCTCTGCGTCTGGCTGCTGCAGGGCCTGATCCACCTGCTGCAGCTGGGGCAGGTCTGGAGGTACGGGGAGGTTGTGGGGGTAGAGGGGGTGTGGGTGTACGGGGGGCATGGGGGTACCTGGGGGATGGGGGCACCGGGGCGATGGGGATGTTTTTGGGACTGACCCACCTGCTGCACCTGGGGCAGCTCTGGAGGTATGGGGGTACCCAGGGGATGGGGGTACAAGAGGCTGGGATGGGGCTGCTGCAGGGCCTGATTCACCTGCTACAGCTGGGGCATGTCGGGAGGTACGAGGGGAGGGGTGAGATGGGGGTCATGGAGCCAGGCGGGGCTGGAGGGAGCGGCAGGTGCAGCAGGGATATGGGTGGGGGTAAAAGCATTGAAGCCACAGAAGGGGATGGCAGGGCACGGGGCAAAGTGGGTGGGGATAGCGAGGTGCAGCAGGGGCCCAGGCACGGGGAGGGCAGGGGGATCAATTCCTCCACAGCCCCAGCAGGAGGGGCGGTGGGGGAGAGCCACCAGCTGTGGGCACACGTGGGTGTGGGTAGGAGCTGTGGGTGTGGATGTGGGTGAGGAGCTGCAGCCCAGCTCGATGCCACAGCCCTGCCATCCCCACTGCTGGGTGGTGCTGGGCCTGCTGCGGACCTGCCTGGCCGTGGCAGTGGGGTTGTGGGGGTGTGAATTGCTTCTGCTGGGCCCTGAATGTCTCGGGGATCCTGCTCTGATCTCACTGTATCTGTGGGGTGGTGGGTGGGGAGGTGCAGGTGGTCCCCAACCTGTCAGGCTCCTCTGCTGCCCCATCCCAGCCCTGGGGACAGGCCCATGAACAGGCAAGGCAAGTAGCAGCCAGGCAGGCTGGGGCAGCTCAGTACCTCCCTGCAGACCCCCCAGAAGCCTGAGCTGATGGTTTCTTGACACTTTCCTCTCCTGTGCTATGGAGCCAGCCCTGCACCTTCGCAGCTCTGCTGAGCTCCATCCCCGGGTGCTGGGGAAGAGCTGGGTGCTGGCACCGAGTGGCTCTCAAGGAGCTGGTGCCGGGAGGGCAGACAATGGCAAATTCCCGGAACAATGCATGGAGCAGGCAGGGCTCCCGGCTCGGGTTTCCATCCTGTTTCCTCTCCTGAGTGCTGTAGTAGAGGCTCCCCACTCCCTGTCGGCGTCTGCATGTCATTCCTTTACTGCTCTTCCTGGGAGGCTCTGGGGTGTGCAACTTTGTTTGACAGTGCAGCATGTGCCATGCTCAGGGGGCTTCTGCCCCTTCCCTCACCAACATGCCTGCCCTCCCTGATCCCCCAATCCCTGGGGCCACTCTGGGGGTATACTGGCTGTACACCCTGCCTCAGTGTGCAAGGGGAGCTAGTGAGGGAGAGGACAGGAGCTTTCTGGCCCTGCCTGCAGTCAGCCTCGGCCCCGACACACCTGATCCCAGCCTGAGCTGGAGTGGAGCCATGGCTGGGGGCTTTGCTCCCAGGGGTGTCAGCCCCGCTCTTGGATCGGCTGCACCATGGAGACTCCTAAGCCAATTAAAGCGGTAACTCTCAGCACTCACCCTCCAGGACATGTTGGTCTCAAGCTGCAGCTGAGGCTCTTTCTAATCTCAGGATTTGGGATTAGCTCTGGTGACCAGTTAAATGCAGTTCGTTAAACCCATTAGCGAGGTTGGATCCGGTGCAGGTGGATGTGGCAGTTAGAATAGTGTTGGATAAATGCTAAAGGCAAGGCTTTTCCCTGGTCAGAGCACTGTATTTCTTGCCAAACATCTCCCTTTCCTGATTTACCTGCCTTCTCCCTCACCGCTGCAGGTCTCACCTCTACCAACCCGCAGGTCTCACTGCACAGCCCCGAGTCCCACATGTGACAAAGACCCCCCAGCCCCAAGAATACAACTCCTTCCCAGCTGCAAAGGCAGCTCTGAGCACTGGCTCTGAGGTTATCCCAAAGTTAGTTGTCATCAGTCTGTTCACAATGCACGTGCACATACCCTGTCACGGATGGTCTCCAGAGACAGTGTCGGCAGCATGACCATGTGCTCATGTAAGGAGCAGCAGCTTGGGCCTGTCCCCAGCCAGTCCCATGCCACCACCGTGCTCATGGGTTGTGCTTGGATGGTTTGTCAGCTCGGGAATTGTTATCTGCTCACAAAGAGTGGTCAGCTTCTTCACTAAAGCAGTTCCACAGGGGGGATGCTGCACGTGCCAGTGTGCCTCCCTCCCAGCAGCCTGCCAGGGTCCCCTGTCACCTCTGTGGGCTGGCAGCTGGCCAGGGTGTCTCTGTGGGTCCCACAGGCTGGGCACATGCCTGTGCCTATGTCTGTGTTAGCCCAGGGCCACACATAGATTGGCTGTCTGGGGGTCACTGGGGCCAGGCCCGGGGTGCCCTCTCCATGTGCAGGTCCTTCCCAAAAGCCCCCATCAACCCATGCCCCCACATCCTCTGCTGGCTTGGGGACCCAGTGCTAACCCTCAGTCCTGGTGGCAGCCCTGGAGGGCAAGGACATCCTGGGTGGGCTCACAGGGGGTGGCAGAGCTAGGATTTGCAGGTTTTCCCCCCTACTACCACCATGTGGTCCCAGGGCTTTGCTCTGCCTGCATGTGGGTAGGAGCCCTCCCAACCCCAGCTTTGGGGTGTCAGCTTGTCCCGTGGCAGGACCCAGTTCTGGGAGTCCCCACATGGTCCTGGTGCATAGGACAAGGGGCTTTTTAGGGCCAGACCAAGCCTTTCCCTGAGCAGGAGTGCCATCAGCTGCTTCCATCCTCCCTGGGTACCCAGGGTACCTTGGGGTGTGGTGCTGGTGGGACACAGAGGCTTTGTCAGTGAGGTGATGTGGGTGCATGTGCAGCTCTCCCTGATGATCTGACTTGGTGGGATGTGTAAGGGATTAAAATGGCTGTAACAGGGAAGCAATTTTCTCCTTGTTTAAATACAGGATTAAGGGATGAGATCCCAAATTACCTTCTAGGAAAATTGCATTCCCTACTGCTCACTCTGGGACTGGAGGGTCCCTCATCCTTTTCCATCTGAGGATGATGATTAGCAGATTTTTTTATAACCAGAGCCAGGGTTTTTTCCTCATCCTTTTTTCCCAACGCCTGAAAACCAGAGTCAGTATCTGGGAGCTGGGGGCAAACAGTGACGCTGGTGACAGACCCAGCTGTGGTGGGGCTCTGGCAAACCCAGCACCCACCCAAGCCACCACCTTCCTGCTGCAGGGATTTCATTGGATGACTCTTCGCAATACAAAGGAGGGAGCAATTAGCCCTGAGAGCTCTCGCTGTCGGTTTCTGCCTCATCATCAGTTTTTTTGAAAATTAAATGATTTTTTTTTCAAGTGATTGATTCTGTGTTTCCCGTGCAGCTGCCGCGGCGCGGGGCTGGGGAGCGCCCGCCACGCTGGCAGCGCCAGGATCATTCTCTGGGCTGAAACACCACGGGATGATCAAATGCAGAACAAATAAGAATCAACATTTCATTCGGGCGAGTTGATGGGAGATGAAATCTCATTTTAATGAGACCCATGGAGCTGGCAGGGAGACAGGAGGATAATTGTGCCCTCGCTGAAAGCTGGGGAGGCTGCAGGTCACTTGTTGAGAAGCGGAGGAGCCAGGGCTGGTGGCCCTGGGGTCCATGTGTGGGGGCTGCTCTACACCATGGACAGTGAGACTGTGGCTCCGATGAGCCCAATTATCGAGGCTAATTACAGGGGCAGGATGAGGTCACCAGTGCCCAAGCCTGGTTCATGCATGGGTGCCCCAGGACAGCAGTGATGCTCTGCAGCACACCGGGCTCTACATCACTTCTCCTATTGTTGTTTCCCGCTACTCCGTGCCTTCCCTTTCTGGGCTGTCCTCTGGTTTGTTCCCCCACCAGCAAGGTTTGTTCCCCCACCAGTAGCGTCACTGCCCTTCTTCAGGGCAGTGGCTGTGGTGGTGCAATGGCAGCACTGGCCTGGCTGGCTGTGAGCAGGTGGCACCAGCATGCAGATCTGTGCTGGGAGCCAGGAGCCGGGTGGCCACAGCCTCTTCCCCCTGAGCGGTGAGGGACAGGCTGCAGCAAAGGCTAAAATTAGGTGCTGCCCTCAAGGTGGAGGTTAAAGCAGTGCAGAGAAGGGAGGGGCTGGGAGTGGAGCTGGCCAGGGCAGAGCAGATGGCAGCAGAGTGACACGGGGGCTTGGTGGCCCCAGCTGATGGCCCTCACTGTGCTCTCAGGGCTGTGCAGCCCAGGGGTGGGAGCATTCGGCTGTCCCTGCAGTGGAAGCAGGGCTGGCTCCTGCCTCTTCCTGCTGACGGATGAGCTGAAAGTGCTGGGATCAGGCTTTCTCCCATGCTCTGGGCTGATGGAGTTGGCTGGCAGCACATTCTGGAGCTGATGGAGAAGCCGTTGCTCTGCCAGAGGATTTTACTCATTGGGAGGAATCTATGGTTTGACATCCTCCCTCTGCACCTTTCTGTTCCCCTCCTCACCTGGCTCCCTCCTCCTCGTCAGCAGAGCCCTGGCCGTGGTGCAGGCAGGGGTGCCCGGGGATGCCCTGCCTGGCCGGCCCCTTGTCCCCTCCTGCAGTGCCGGATCTGGCCCCGTGTCATGGGGAGGGTCCCTGGTGGTGGTGACTCAGCCGGGCGTGCGTCGGTGCCACACGCACCTCCGCTGACCCCCGGCCGACGACCAGATGGCCGGGGCCAGTGTGTGGCCGCGCCCGTAGCCCTGCCAATAGCCGAGGCAGCGCCACCACGAGCGCCGGGAGCTTCCCGCAGGCAGCACAGCACAACCAGCTGGTGCCTCCATCCTGGCCGGGTCGGGGGGAAGCAGGGTGGGCTCTGCGCCAGCTGGGACCAAAATATCCCTCTTGAGAAGCAGTCGGATGTTGGTGCTGGGCTGGGGCAACCCAAATCTATGGGTGGGGCTGTGGGGGGGATTCCCGGTCTGGGGGGGGATCCAGACCCTGCATGAGGGAGGAAGGGTTGGGGTAGTGGCTGGGTAGGCACTGTGATATTCAGGTGGGCAGTGGGGTGGTGGCCCAGGGCAGAGGAGTGTTTAGCTGGCTTTGTACAAGCTGCCCCTTCCCAAATTGGAGCCCTAGGGTAAGACAGAGACATGCTCAGCATCGCTGCTACCCCATAGCCCCTGGCACTCCTGGCCTGGGGGGATTTCCAGGGCCCCAAATCAGGGGAACAGCGGTCACAGAACAGTCCTGGTGCGGGCAGGGCAAAGTGAACTTCACTGCCCGGGCAGTTGGGGCTTGTCTCACCCCTCCCAACCTCGCGCAGGTACCTCCGCACGCTGTACCTGGGGCTGCAGAGCCGGTGGCAGGTCGAGCACCGCCGCCGCCACTACTACTGGCGGATGATGTTCGAGAGCGCGGACATCAGCATGCTGAGGCTGCTGGAGGCCTTCCTCAAGAGCGCGCCCCAGCTTGTGCTGCAGCTCAGCATCATGGTGCAGCAGAAGAGCATCGAGCCGCTGCAGGGTAAGGGACACACCCCACTGAGGGGGAACGGGGCAGCGGGAGGGGGGTCCCTGGCCTCCACAGGCTCTCACAGCTGCTCCCCGCAGGGCTCTCGGCCTCGGCCTCGCTGGTCTCGCTGGCCTGGATGATCGCGTCCTACCAGAAGGTGCTGCGGGACTCGCGGGAGGACAAGATGCCCATGTCCTACAAGGGCGCCGTGGTGCAGATCCTCTGGCACCTCTTCACCATCGCTGCCCGTGCCATCGCCTTTGCCCTCTTTGCCTCCGTGTTCCAGCTCTACTTTGGCATCTTCATAGTCACCCACTGGTGCATCATGACCTTCTGGATCATCCAGGGCGAGACGGATTTCTGCATGTCCAAGTGGGAGGAGATCATCTACAACATGGTGGTGGGCATCATCTACATCTTCTGCTGGTTCAACGTCAAGGAGGGACGGAGCCGCTACCGCATGTGCATCTACTACATCATCACGCTGTCAGAGAACGCCGCCCTCACCATCCTCTGGTTCCTCTACTATGACCGCGAGACCATCTCCGACTTCGACGCCTTAATCCTCGTCTGCGTGGTCAGCTCCAGCTTCGCCCTCGGCATCTTCTTCATGTTCATCTACTACTGCCTCTTGCACCCCAACGGCCCCATCTTCCGCCACCGCAACGTGGGCTGCATCTTCCGGCAGGAGCCGCCTCCAGTGCCGGGGTCCCCCACGGACGCCGTCACCAGCCCCCCGCGCTCGCTGCCGCGGACTACAGGGGGGGAGCGGGAAGGGGCGCCGGGGGAGCGGGACAGTTGCGTGCCCGTCTTCCAGGTGAGACCCCGCTCGCTGCCGACAGCGGCCGCCCGCGCCCCGCGGACAGAGAGGCCCGTCATCCGCATTGACCTGCCCAGGAAGAAGTACCCGGCCTGGGACGCCCACTTCATCGACCGGCGCCTGAGGAAGACCATCCTGGCGCTGGAGTACGCATCGCCCATCACCCCTACCCTGCAGTACCGCACCCCCGGCGCCCCCCAGGAGCTGCTGGAGTATGAGACCACCGTGTAGGGTGGCGGGGCACGGGGCTGTGGCGGGACCCCCGGTGCCACCCCGGCCAGCCTGTGTCTCCACAGCTGTTTGCCTTCCGTTGGGTTTGCCGGCTCTGCCGTGTCGCCGTGCCGAGTGCCCCGCGGGCGGTGGCCGGGGAGGTCTCTTGGTGCTATCCCCCCTCTCGCGCCACCCTCCTGCAGCCCAGACCCCCATCCCGCCTGACGGCGGCTGCCCCCGCACCCCCCAGGGCTCATCCTTGCCAAAATACCTCACCGGTGCCTGAGCCCCAGGCAGTGGGTGCTGTGGCCCGTGTCAGTGGTGCAGGATGGGGACTGGGGGCACCCTGGGCTGGGGGCATGGTGGGGCACAGTGGGGCGTGGTGGGCAGCACATGGGGACACTGGTGCCTGTGCCATGGCAGAGCCATGGGGCTGGGACGTGGCTGCACTGGGGTGTGCGTGGGGCTTGTCACCCACAGGAAGCTGGGACAGGGACAACTGCGGTCTGTCCAGCCCTCCCAATGTCTCACAGTTTCCCCACACTCTGCAGCACCAACCCTTGGGGAGCCCCTTCATCTCCATCCTCAGTTCCGCCTGGTTCAGGGTTGAGCCATGTTCCCAACCCCACTGTCCTGTGGGGCACAGACCCTGGCCTGGGGTGGGCACCTGCCCCCCTGGTTCTGAGCTGGCATCCCAGCTGTGGCTGGGATGGCTGCGCCTCATCCTTCCCACCATTCCCACAGGAACTTCTTCATCTCATCGGGTTTGTTTTCACCTGGTGACGTTTTGTGTGACATTTTCTACCTCCGCTGGGGCCGGGGGTTGCAGGGCCTGCCTGGCACTGCTGAGGAGTGTGTGTGGGGCCGCTGGCGTTCCCTGAGTTCCCTAAAGTGGGATTCACACCCAGCCGTTCTCCTCTCTCGGGTTTGGCATCACTTCCCACCCGGGAGCTTTTCCATTTACTCCCCCATCGGCATCAGCCCCCTCCAGAGCCTCAGCGTAAACCTGAGCTGGGATCCTCCCTCCCCTGGCCTCACCCCGTGTCCACCCAGCCTCCTCCCTGTCCCCGCCTTGCCTGCCCCTGCCTGCTCCTGCCTCCCCAAAGGAGTGGGACCGCCCTGGGCTCCGGGTTTGAATGTGTCCCTGGTCCTGCCCGGATCCGTCAGCCCCCACTGAGGGGCTGTGCTGAATGTACCCTGTGCCCCGCCCCGGGCCGGGACTGTCCCAGTGGGGTGCGTGTGTGTGTCTCTCTGTGTGTCTGTGTGTAAGTGTGTGCAGGGGCTGGCAGGGGTTTGCAGGGGAGGGGAGCTGTTGGACCCCCCAGCCGTGCTCCGCCCCAGCCCCTTGCCCCTGCACCCATGGCCCCTGTGCCTTCCCCACACCTCCTGTGCCCCCTACAACAGCCCCGCAGGGTCCTGGCCTCTGGCTGCCCCGAGCTGCCGTGCCAAGCCCTGCCCGGGCTGCGGAGCATAGGCAGCACCGACAGCCCCTCTGTGCCATGGGGCACCGTGTGAGGCACCAGAGGATAGGAGGGCTGGGATGGGAGAGCTGCACCTGGGAATGGCTGGGATGTGGGGTCCCCGAGGGCTGGTGTGGGTGCCTGGCCCTGTGACACGGCCGGGTTGGGTGGGTGGATGTGCAGTAGTGGTGGCATCACGTTTCTTTTGTTTCCCATTTCTCGGTAGCTGGGGTGACAGCCGGCTGGGCTGGCCATCGATGGGGTCACTGGTGCTAACTGGTGCTAACTGGAAGCCTTGGAAACCCTTTAGGAGGAGGTTGCAGAGCGTGGCTGGGGCTGGGCAGGGGGCTGGGCCCCCCGGCACCTGCACCCCTCCTTCACCGCCATCACGGGCAGACCCCGGCAGTGGGGGCTGTTTGTGCTGGGGAATCCCCAGGCATGGGGTGGCTCTGTGGGGGGGTCTCTTTTCCTCAGGGAAGGTGGGGGGCAGTGGCCAGGGGGGGCTGGGGGCTCATCCCTGTGGGTGTTGAGCAGCATCACTGCAGCCCCTGTGCAATGCCCAGGCGGTGGCAGCTCCTTGCTGGGTCCCACTCCACCAGAGATGGGGACAAGCCAGCGTGGGGCAGCGCTTCTGGGCTCCCCCTGCCCCAGCCCCTCTCCCTGTCCCCTGCAGGACAGAGACACCGTTCAGGGTGACCTGGACCCCCCATGCCCTTCACCCCGGGGTTTGTGTGGGGACCCCAGGGCCGTGCCGGTGGGACAGAGGGACACTTTTCTATGCACTCAAGCCACGGTACCCTCAGCCCTAGGCTGCTCTGGGCAGGGCATTCTGGCCATGCCTGGGGCTTAGGGGGAGCCCCCGGGTCCTGCTGCTGCCCTGGGGCTCGGCCAGGCTGCCCTCTTGCCCACACCCAGCCTGTGCCACAGGGGCAGCCAAACCCAGCACCCCGCTGCCAGCGGCAGCACCGGGATGGCAGCACCGGCCCACCAGGACCACAACAAGGGGGCACGACTGGGGGCCAAGCAGCTACATGATGGGCGCGGCTCCAGGGCTGCTCCAGCTTCAGGGAGTGAGGGAAGTTCGTTCTGGCAGGGGCTGCCGCGGGGTCTCAGCCACATCCCTGGCCCCCCTCCGGCGCTGGGACCCGGCGGCTGCTGTCATGTACTGTAAATACTCTGTGTGCCACCTTCTTCTCTGGGACCCTCGGCATGGGCGGGGGTGAGCGGGAGGCCGGGGTCCGTCCCGAGACTTTTTTGTATACCACAAACTTTTTGTATATTTTTAATTTTGCTGCAACATGAGATATTAAATTCATTTCAATAAGCCCTGCCTGTGGGATCCTGTCCTTGCTGGCACCTCTGGCTCACGGGTGGGGTCTGAAGTGAGGCAGGACGATGTATCTCTGTCGTGGGGTTCTTGGGGACTCCAGGAACAGAGCAGGGTGGCTGTGGTGGTGCTGGCCCTGGTGTGGCAGCCAGGAGGGAAGGGGGGGGGTACCAGCAGGATGCAGCTTCCCGGGGAGGAAGCTGCTGGACATGGCCACTTCTGGGCCAACCTCCTCCGTGCCAGAGGCCCTGATCCCCAGCTGAACCCCAGACCCACGGGGGGCTCAGGCTCCATGGGGAAGCAGAACCAGCCCCAGGCCCAGGGAGGAGCCCTGTGGCAGTGAGGGGTAGGGGCTGCTCTGTAGCAGGGTCCCGAGCGCACCCCCCCCACCTGCTCTGGTCCCAGTGCCTGCTCTGGTCCCATCCCAGCCTACTTCAGCCCCTGCTTCTGCCCAAGTACCAGCCAAGTCCCAGTCCCATTCCCAGGCTCAGTCCTGACCCGGTCCCAGTGTCAGCCCAGCCCAGGCCGGCCCAGCCCAGCCCAGTCCCAGCACCCCCCAGGAGAGGCAGGAACTCACATCCCAGCCATCCTGGTGGAGTTTCCGACACAGGAAAGCACCGCGGCGCCGAGCGGGGCGGTGGGGGCGGCCACAGCTCCGAGCCCAGCCATGGACTGCGAGGCCAAGAAGGGAAAGAAGGTGCGTGGGGCTGGGGCCGGTGTCCCGGGGGACTGACGGGAGGGTGGGAGCGGGCGAGATGCACGGGTTTGAGAGGCCTTGCACCCCTCCCGCAGCGCAGCAGGGAGGAGCGGGGTCCCCACTCACTGCCCCCCAAACCACGCAAATAATGCAAACCTGGCGTCAGCGAGCAGAGAGGTGCCCATCCCGTCCCCAGGTGCTGGGTGCCACGGACCCTGTGTGTGGGTGCCAGGGTTGGGTGCCCGGTGCTGACTCCTCCCTGTTCCCGTTCCCCCGCCAGGGCTTTGTGTCGCCCATCAAGCGGCTGGTTTTCCCGAAGGCTGCGCGGAGGGCAGCGCTCCGCAGCAGCGTCTACCGGCGCCCGCTGCACTCCGTGCCCCTCTATCCCCCCGACTACCTGATCGACCCCCAGATCCTGCTGCACGACTACGTGGAGAAGGAGGTGAAGGTAAAGGGGTCCTCAGAGATGCCTGGGGTCACTGCCTGCTTGGGGTGGGGATATGAGGTCACCCCAGGCAAACAGCCAAGGAGGGAGAGGGTGGGTTGGGGATGGAGGAAGGACCCCCACTGCAAGGTCTTCCTGCACCCCAGGGACATGTGTCCTGCCCTTGGGGAGGTGGCTGGGGGTAGAGGCAGGGGGGAAGGTGTGTAACCAGGCCTCCCCAGGCTGCCCTGGATTTTGTCCTCTCCCAGTTTTTAGGCCACCTGACATGGGTGACATCCTCCCTGAACCCCTCCAGCCGGGATGAGGTGCTGCAGCTGCTGGACACGGCCAGGGTAAGAGGGGTCACCAGGGTGCTCCCCAGTGCTGGCCAAAGGTTGGGCACCAGATGCCCCACGCTGCCCAGTGCCCCACATCCCCCCTGCACTCTGCCCCTGCAGCAGCTGAAGGAGCTGCCGCTGCAGACGACCCCGGAGCAGGACAGCATCCTCAGCCTCTCTGCGCGCTGCCTCCTGCTCACCTGGCGCGACAACGAGGAGCTGATCCTGCGCATCCCCACCCACGAGATCGCTGCGGTCTCTTATCTGCGAGACGACGCCCTGCACCTCCTCATCCTCAAAACCGGTGCGGGGGTCCGGCCTGGGGAGTCACCAGCCATGGCACAGCTGGCCCTGAGTGCCTGGTGTACCCAGGGCATGGGGGGCTGGAGCCTGGGGGCTGATGGGGGTCGGGGTCTGTCTGGGGCAGCAGCACAGGCTGAGCGCAAAATCCAGGGTGTCCCCACACTCGGTGGAGATGTCCACTTCGCGAGGCTGGAGGGGGCACTGCCTGGGACTCTCTGGCAGGCAGGTCCCAGCTGTGCTGCCAGTTCTGCTTGCTTTAACGGCAGGAGGCAGAGGGCTGGGAGTGCCCCCCAGTCCTGTCCCACACTCACACAGACAGGGGCTCCAGCTCTTTGATCAGCAAACCCCGGCTCAGCTGCCAGCCAGGAGAAGAGTCCCTGGGGAGGGGACTGTGCTCCAGCTGAGGAGTGGCCCCTAATCTCCTGCCCTGCTGCCCCCACAACCCACTGGGACTCTCACAATCCCAACCCATGCCCCCATCCCTCTGCACTGGGCTGGTGGGACAGGGGTGCCAGGGCAGGGTCTGGGGGCCAGGCAGGGTGGGCGGCGCAGCCTCTCCACCGTGACACCCCTCCTGTCTCTCCCCACTGCCCCAGGCCTGGGAGTGGACCCGGTTCCCGCCGGAGCACACCCCGAGGCGGCCCCGGCCGGCGTGCCGGAGGCGTTTCCCCCCGAGAAGCGCCCGGGGGGCTCGTGGCCGGAGGGGGGCCGGCTGGGGGGTGCGATGGAGCGGCGGCACACCATCTGCAGCCTGGACTGGCGGGCGGCGCGGGGCGGGCAGGAGGCCCGGCAGGGCGGCAGCCTGGAGCGGCGGCGGGGCGGCAGCTGGGAGCGGCGGCAGCGCGGGCGGCCCTCGGGCAGCTGGGAGCGGCGGCAGCCGTGCGGCGGCAGCTGGGAGCGGCGGCGGGCCGGCACCGCCGGCGGCAGCTGGGAGCGCGGCACCGGCTTCGGCAGCTGGGAGCGGCGGCACGCCGGCAGCAACCCCCTGGACCCCCAGGAGCCCTGCCCCGACGCCTACTCCAACCTCATCATCCTCGCCGTGCCCAACAGGGTGAGCGGCCCCGGTGTGTGCCACCCGCCACCCCCTGCCTGCTCCCCCATCCGGCGGCACTCACTGCCCTCCTCCTCCCCCCTGCAGGATGCTGGCGAGGAGTCCTGTGCACTCATCTGCCAGGTGTTCCAGATCATCTACGGGGATCAGAGCATTGAGTGCGTGGACCGTGCCGGGTACCACTACACCTCCACGCCCACACGGCCCTGGCTCTCCAGCAGGAGTGAGTGGCTGGGGGCAGGAGTGGGGGCACCAAGTGTGGTGGCATGGGGCTGATGGGTGGGGGTTCATGGGCACTGTATGGGGCTGACAGGTCAGGGTGCATGGGCACAGCGGGCGGGGTTTGGCCTCACTATGAGATCTCGGCTCTCCCTCCCCAGGCGAGAGCTGCCGCACAGATGGGACGTACGGCTATGATGCCGACTACAGCTGCTGCAGCTCCTTGTGAGTCTGGCTCCCCCCGAGGGTGCCCCTGGACTGGGGGGAGGTGCCCTTGCCCTTGGGTGGGTGCCCCTGCTCTGGGTGGCTGCCTGTCCCAGCTGCAGTGGTGCCCCAGCCCTGTCCCACGGTGGGTGCTGTGCAGTGGATGGAGGGCATCCAGGCACACTGGGGGTTCAGGGACCCGCTGATCCTCATCCTCCCACAGCAATGGCTCCCACGAGACCTTCGAGGCATATTACAGTGGCACCTCCTCGCCCTCCTTCCACCGCTCCCACCACAGCCTGGCCACTGCTTGCAGTGGCAGCGACCAGAGCGGTGCAGGGCTGGAGCAGCTGCAGGACTACATGATGACGGTGAGGGCACAGGGATGGGCACGGGGATGGGCAGCAGGCCAGCAGTGCCAGCAGCTGGGGTGGGGGGCAGCAGGCAGGTCTGAGCCCCCTGCGCCAGAGAACAGGTGGGGGGACAGGGCTGTGTGCTGCCAGTGTCCCCAACCCCGACCTGTCCCCGTGTCACTGCAGCTGCGCAACAAGCTGTCATCGCAGGAGATCCAGCAGTTTGCCCTCCTGCTCCGTGAGTACCGGCTGGGCACGCCGGTGCGGGAGTACTGCGCCGAGCTCCTGCGCCTCTACGGGGACCGCAGGAAGTTCCTCCTCCTGGGTGAGTGTCTGCAGCCACGCTGTGTTACCCTGCTGATGTCTGTGCAGCCCTCGGGGTGGGGTGCTGGTGCTGGGTGTGCTCCAGGGGGTGTCAGGACCCCGGTGCTTGCGGGGGACAGGATGGGATGACCCCCCTGCCGGCAGCCTCCTGAGGCTCGTGGTGCCCATGACAGGAATGAGGCCCTTCATCCCTGACCAAGACA